TTAATATACAACTCTCGTCAGTGCAAATGTCTTGACAGTGTGAAAAAGCGAATCTTTAAAATTATTGAAGTGTATTTTCCATTCACGATAAGCATCAATATTATATCAATCTATCTCTAGTAGCAGTAGGCTCGACACTTTACTTGGTGAGAAAACCGTTCACGAGTTGTAATCAATGATGAGAGCAAGATAATACATATAGAATATATTATATCAATATTTTCTAGAGTAGGTTGGTAACCGCTCTTTGCTTCTCGCCACTTGGGTTTTGGCATTGAATTCAAGCAATGTGGGGGCTGCTTCCGGAACCAATTACATATTTCGTGCTAATTAAGTGCACATTTTTTAAAATGAAAGTTGTAGAAGCGTTCCAAAAAGGAACTATATTATATATATATATATATATATAATTTTATTATATCGTATTAAGTTGGCATATACTTATTAGTTTGTTACTATATGAATTAATCAACAGAAACCATGTGGTTTTCCTGTCTTTCTCTGGATGTTTAGTGTCTAGATTACTGCAATCTTTCGTGTATATAGCGTTTTGGCTGAGCAAACCCCCCCCCCCCAAAAAAAAGAAAAAACTATTTGCACTCTTTAATTAATAATATAATACTTCACCAGGGAGTTCAGAGATCTCAAGGTATGGGGGAAACTGAATCGTTCTGGTCAAGTTTATAGGTTGTTTGGTATGACGTGTTCAGACTGAGACGAAGATAGTTACTTGTTGGATTAATATTTTAGTTCCACCAATTGTGAGATTTTACGTTGTCAAGTCGTACAAATATAAGTAAATGATCAAAAGAAGAAAGTCACAGATAATACTACAAAAATACGAACTGCATTATTCGTTCTTCTTTTTATATTCATTTCCTAAGAATTTATATACAATCGCAAGAATAATCAGGAACATGCATTAGAAAGAGAACACGCACGCTCACCTCCAGTAAATTCTAACCTTCCCAGACTTTGGCCATTTTTCTGTTATTATTAATCAGGAAGTCAGATTGATAATATTTAGGCATGAGACTTTATAAAAAACATTGCATGATTTATTAATTACTCAAATACACTTCTCAACTAGCTCATCTTCTTAATCTCCACGTAAAAAGAGATTGCGGCCGGATGCTAATTGACCCACAAGTTTAACACAAATTTAGTTTTTTTATCAAATAATTATATATTATTATTGTACTAATTCATTCGTTGCGAAAGATCAACTCTCTCTCTCTCTCTCTCTCTCTCAGAGGGGTTCATGGAATTGAAAATAATTAGGTGAAGCAGTGGAAATAAGGATATATTTTAGTCAAATACATTAATGTTGCTATTACATTAGATGATTTAATAACTTTTTTCATGTTTGTGTAAACCCAAATGCAAGAGCAAAATGGGTTATGGATCGTGTGAACTTCTGTGTAGCCCAGACCAGAACAGTATCAAACCATTGGTCCAAGGATGAAATTTGTAACACACTAAATTTTTTTAAAAAAAATAATTTAACTCAATTATAGTTGGGTTACAGCCACCCAACATATTTTTATATTAATAATTTTAATATAAAATATTTTATAATTGGCTTCAACTCACACAATATAACATTTCAGATAAATTTTTACCTTTCACATGTCATTAGGCTAAATCACATTTGTCCATTCTTATACTCCCAACAAGTAAACTAAATCATATTTGTCCATCCTTATACTCCCAATAAGTAAAATAAGTAATTTAATCAATTTTCAATACAAGCCAGTTATTTGACCTTATAATCATGCCATTTTAACCAATCCAAAGTAAACCAAATATTAAAATTACAGTCATCCAAATTGTACCAAAAATAGAAATAGTTTGAAAGGTATGATTACATTTATATATTCATATAATTGACAATAAATAAAAAAACCTTAATATTGGCAATATAACACATTATAAATCATAAATCAAATACCCAAAAGAGACAGTGGATTTATGCCACTAAGCCTTTGGGACTCCTACACGTGTCACTCATGGCTCTTCTCCTGAAAATTGTTAACCACACAATGAGACTCAAAAGTCCCAATAACCATAGCCAATTTATGATAGTATATACAAACAGTTAAGTGTGTGCTTATTAAGTGAGAATTAAAAATAATATAATTTCAACAAATATAAGAAATATTATAACACACACAAATAACCATTCTTATATCCCTCCATTAACCTCGAGCCGTAACCCTCATTCGGTGCTAAATTGCCCGATCAAAGGTAGATTAGCCCGAATAGTACTCGGCAAACGGGTTGCAGACCAGTCCGCGCGGGCTAGCAGTTTTGCGGGTTGGGTTGGGCCAGCCCGCCAGATAAAACGGGCCGAAAAATCAACCCAACCCATTTTCCAACGGGCTAGTCAACCTACGGGCTAGCCTGCAAAAAATTATCAAATTTTTTTAATAATTTAAAATTTATACAATATAAATATATATATTTATTTATTTCATATTTTAAAGCAAATTAGAAATTAAAAAATTTGTAAATAAATAAAATAAATATAGAATTCAACCAAGCAAATTCATTTTGCTAGATTTTTATTATTAATCATTTTCTCACCTAGGTGTGCTATCTTTGCCACTAATAAAGAAAATTTAAATATAAACTCATATTATTTTTCTTAGTAAATTCATATTTATAATTTCAATCAATAGAATTTATGAGATTAATAAATAATATATATTCAAAATATTTCTATAAAAACTAATAAATTATCTTCATAAACTATAACAAAAATTTTATTTGCAAATTGTAAAAAGAATTTACACTATATTTTAAATGTAAAGAACATATTTAAAAATTATAAATTATATATTTAAGAGATATTATCATTATTATAAATTTATAAAAAGATATAATGCAATTAAAAAATAAAAAATTATTTTTTAAAAAATATTACTAGCCCACGGGCCAGCCTGTTTAGCCCGCGGGCTATCCCGTTTTAACCCGCTTTTTTGCTTTTAAAAAACGGGTTAATTTTTTCAACCTAACCTGTCAAATTGTACGGGTTAAACGGGCTAACCCACGGGCTCAACCCATTTTTTCGGCTCTAAACCCGAGCCCTTACAAGCCACCTATTGAGCTCTGATAGGGGCGTACCACGTGGTACATAAATACAACAACAATAGCAAGTCTCCCAACACCTCCCACAATAATCAAACAAATTTATAATAATATTGCACAATTATACAATATTACAAAATTCATAATTTTCTCAATAATCACCCAATTAACATGAAGTAACACTAATCACAAATTAAAAGCATGGTTACCTTGTGGCTTTTTTAATAAATTATTCTTTACAATTTCTCTCCCACCACAATCTTCACCAATAATACAATCTACAAATAACATATTATTTATAAATATTAGTTTCAATTTTTGAAACTAATAAAATAATTCTAATAATAGAATTAAAAATATAACATAATTTCTAATCTCAATCTTAATACAAATCTAGAGTCAACACTATTAAGTAAAATTTTTAACTCCTTTTTTAATTATCAATAAACATTAATAATCTAAAAATCAACTTTTAAACTAATTTCTATTATCAAAATTTTTTTATTTCATAAATTCGTACTTAAAATATCTAAAAATTAAAAATTGAGTCTCCAGCGTAGAATCATAATCCTATAGTCATAATAATTCATTTCTCATTCCAAATAAACATCTAAACCTCAATAAATCAACATATATTTTTAAATCTAGTTTAGAATTTGATCCATAAGCCACAAATTCAAAGATCATCAACAAATTTATACTCTAGAATATTTATTATACTACTAACAACCTCATAAACCATATTTATTTAATATAAATTCATCCCTCTTCCAGATTCTAAATTTTCTACCACCATAAAATTAGAAACCAAAGAGGAAGGATGACTAAGAAAATTTTTTAGAACACTTACTTAGTCTTGAAAAGCTTAAAATCACACTCTAAATATCCTATTAAAAATTCTTATCTTAAAACCTCAGATCTCCCGCACCGGCGAAACTAGAAGCTCTCTCAGTCTCAGCTCGCGCACAGGGAAGAATGAAGAAACGAAGGAAACAGGCGAGTTTTTATAAAAATTTAATGGGTCCCACATCTTTTTTTATTATTTCTTCTTTCCTCTCTCTCCCTTTTTTTTTATTATATACATAATCATTACACCGAAAGCTGATCGCGTTTCTTTCTTTCTCTTTCTCATACATTTTCTTCTTCTTTTTTTTATAATAATAATAATAATTTAATAATATTTTTTTAATTAATTTTTTTATTTTAATTTAGAATGATATCCTAAGTTAGATTTAATAATCATCTCCTACTAATTTGCTTACCTCTAAATATTTTTTAAAATTTTTATTAATTTAAATTAACTATTAAAATTTAAATTGGGATGTTACAGAAACCGCATGTGGTGTGGGCTTTTTGGTCGGTTGGTTTTTTTTTTTTTCCTCCTTTTGGGGGTGATAGGATACGAATATAGCATATACAAGTTATCAGCCAAGTTTCTACCAAAAACAAAAAAAGTTATCAGCCAAGATATATATATATATATATATATATATATATATATAAAAGTTGTCAGCCATGTCACCCAATACCAGAATCTTTTTTCTGGCGCGTAAATTTAGGGAAAGAAAGGGATGAAGGTGGTTCAAAAAGAGAGCGCTTGAAGTACAGTGACCATTTTTGTTATATTATGCTATTTTTCTCTCTGTTCTTAGCTAACAAAAAATAAGTTTATTTATATCAGGACATTACGGGAGAAAAATAAAAGAAACACTATAACTTGTTTCTGTAAAGATGAAAGGCATGTGTTGTTAGGGGGCTACAGATAATTATGAAGGATTTTGGTTCAACTAGTTTTGGAATGAAGCTCATATTATATATGTAGCATAAGACTCTGTTTCTGCTATATAATTGGCCTTCTGAATTTTAAAGATAGTTCGAAAGTAGAAAATTCCCATCCTCAATTCCATTCCTAAAAAACACGAGTAATTAAACTAGTATATAATATCATAGCCAAATGCAACACCTAACAAGATAATGAAGAAAGCATCAACTTTAACCAAATCAAATGTAAACAATTTTTTCTCATAGCCTAAGATCTAAGTCAAGTTCATTTCCATCCGATGGTCTCTTTGGTAAATCAATCCTAAAGCTTCCTGGCCAAATCAAATTCATGGCTTGTTCTATCACAAGAGATGACCATGCCATATCAAGCCCAGAATTAGCAACCCCAGATGGAGCAGCCAAAGAAGACCCTTCCCTGGTTGGCTTGTGCATAAGCGAATGGGCATGAACACCCAAAGACTTAGCTGCCCGAGAAGTGCTCGTCGTCGTCGTCGTCGTCATCTTTTGAGATTGGTCCCTTCTGGTTGCTCCTCTTTCTCTCCTGTGCGCATTCTGGTGACCACCTAAGGCTTGTGAACTATAAAACTTCCTCATGCAGAAATTGCACGAGAACAACTTATTCTTGAGACGTTTTGATTGGGGATTTGGGTTTTGAATTCGATCAACCTCCTCAGGCATGTTTCTCTCAACTCCTAAACTCAACCGTTCTCCAACATTATCCTCTTCAGCCACACTAACGAAACTGCCCTTTGTCTTTGACCCTCCATCTACATGTTGTTTGTGGGTGAATTTCTCATCTGCCTCCTCTTCCCTGTGAAAAGTCATTGCGCTTTCTCTCTCCAATAAGAACTTGAGATCCATAGGTTTGAGGGGGATATCAATCACGAGTGTTTGCCCTTAAATAAGAACAATAGGCGGAGGAAGGTCGGTTGAATTTCATTTAGTAAATTATTTTTAAATATGATCTCAGCTTTATTTATATTCTGTGTTACCACCGAGTGATGCATACACTTTTAAGGGACATTGCTATATGTGCTAATGTCATCTTACGGTGTTGGCAATTTATTTCTTCAGATTCTCTCTTGTCTTGAGCTTTACACTTGTTACAGCATATAAAAAAAGGGTTCTGAATGGATAGGTCAAGAACCCTTTACCTGTTGAAAGTGCCATACACTGTTAGGTTACAGTTTAATTTTATCCTTCAAGTGTTCATAGAATAGCATGTTTTTCAAGGCCACAAGTCACCCGAAAAAACAGAAAGTAACCTGATGTCAAAAGATTCAGAACGAGACAGTAGATAACAATGAATTGAATGACTTGGAAATAACTACCAAGACCACCAGAATATAAAAGCCCTCGGAAAGGTAAAGGTATGCTCTTGACACTACTCCACTTGGGTTGATGAACGAAATCTACTCTGGCAAACACATTTCCGCGTCCCAACTTGGGAATTGACCAATTCACAAATAGTGATAGTGAGTGGATAGAGTGGACAATGGTTCTGCACGATCTTTATTATTATTTTTTTAATCGTACAATGATGCAATACTTTTGTTCTGGAGGTTGAATGGGCCCCAAAAACTGTTAATAAGAATGGTGAGAAAGAGTTAAGGGGAAGCATGTGATGTTCTAATTTTTTTTATTCAGCTTCCATATACAAATTATACAAAATGGTTGATTGCTAGTGGACAATAGAAGAAGTGAATTTAGAGCCACTCATGCTTAATTATTCTTAAATTAAGAAATTTCCAGTATTGCTAGCTAGTGTTACAGAGAAGTTTATAATTTACCTGGTAATGACAACGAAAGAGCGGTTACACTTCGCGCCTCATTTAGATAAAATAAGCCAAGTGTGAAGCTGAAAGGATGAGTCAGCTATCGTTTCAGAGACATGCATTATCTTCTTGGAATATCTTAAAGTTCTTAAACATATTAGGGATAAGAGCCAAAATAGTTTGTTAGCTCTTAATTAGAAAGCTGAAATCTGCCTCAGCTCAAAGCGCAGCATCAAAGGACTGCTATTCTAGTGTTTTAGTAATTTGTAGACAACTTTCTAACAATTTGAACGTGAATGCTAATAAATCTAAATAGGCACATCATCAGAATCTCATCAACTTGAAGCATTTTTTATTAAGATGGAAGCAAGCAATCGACAATTACTGGTTCTGAATCAGTTGCGAGGAATCTTTTCCAGTGGTTGGCTTATTCTAATATGTTCCTTTGGGAAATGGAGCTTCTGTTTGGTTTGGTTTATAACTGAAGGAATAAATAAGAGGTACTTTGTCGTGTGTTCATTTTCAAGATAGGCCAACATTACTGGGAGCATTTTTATTCTCGTTGATCAAATCCTGACTGTGAAGGATGCTACGACATACAAAAGCGGTCCCCAATAGATTAAAAGTACTTGATATGATAATAAAACCCTTCAGTTACAAGCTTGTTTATACAGTCCGTTATTCCAAAAATCTGAAAGCATACTCATACATCGATATTTGCCGACAAAAAATATGGTTTTTTTTTCGGCCAGAAATAGATGGGTTGTTTTCTAACCTTTTTTTGTTTTTTTTTAAAAGACTGCACGCGTCTGCTAAAGCAATTATTAACAATAATCAAGTTGAAAATTCTAAAAGTTGTTGCTTGAATGCAATTAATCCTGAGAATTCTAAAAGTTGATGACTTTAATTAAAAACTGATTGAAAAAAGCACATCCAAAATATTTGTCAGAGTTCCATGCACGTTGAAACTGAATGGGAACACGTCTTTTAGTAAAAATTTAAATTTAAATATTAATTCACTACATTGCCATGAATTAGCCCTTCTCATAAAATCCAATTCCTATCGATTATTTGTTGTAAGGTGCAACGACTATCAGGAAACACCCATTTCATCTTGATGTTAGCCGCTGCTTCCTTCAAAACGCTGGCATGTGTTATTGCCAACGAACTAGCATCTTCTCTCTAAGTGGTCCCAAGATCGCGGGATTTCTAATTTATTTGGATATTGTTGATATCTTTGAATATCCATTTAAACTCTGATATTATTAGTCTGGAAAAGCTTCTGTGTTGCTTATTCGCTCCAGTATTTTAGATTTCGATCCGGTTGACAGTTTGTGGCACTTCCTTGCGGACATACCTCCCAGCTCAGCAGCTCTGCTGTTGTATCTTGGCATTAGAAATTTGCTCTCCGCGCGGATCTAACTTTTTTGTTTTGTCAAAAACGGATTCCTGTCGCGTTAAGCTGAATCAACCGAAGATTAGGGTGATTTAGGACCTGTCATTTCAACCAGGACAAACGGCCTCAAAGATTTCTCCTTTCTCCTTTCTCCTTTTTTTTTTAAGCATATAATCCGAGGCAGTTATGGTTCCATAAACTTGAAAAGCCGTTAAGCTAACAACTATGCCCGCAGCCACTCTCTTCGGCACCTCATCTTCACCGGCTGCGAGGAGGAACTTGTCATCTCCGTCATCACAATGTCCTTCTCCTTCCTACTCTGTTACCACCAGTTCTGCTGCCGCGGCGCCGTCGTCTTCAAGCAGTCATCTTCTGCAAGTAGACAGGGTTGCCCTCCTAATAGACAAGTGCAATTCCGTTAATCATCTTCTTCAAATCCACGCTGCTCTCCTTCGTCGCGGTCTAAACCAACATCCTGTATTGAATTTCAAGCTCCAACGCTCCTACTCCTCCTTTGGTCGACTTGACTACTCTGTTTCCCTCTTCGATCGAACTGATAACCCGAATGTGTTTTTATGGACTGCCATTATACACGCCCACACCCAATGCGGTCTTTCGGAGCAAGCCCTGCTCTATTACGTACAAATGCTGAGCCAATCTATCCAACCCAATGCCTTCACATTCTCCTCTGTACTTAGAGGCTGTTCGCTGAAATCTTGTAGAGCTCTCCACTCGCAGGTAATCAAATTCAGTTTTGATTCTGATTTGTATGTCTCCACAGGGTTGCTTGATGCGTATGCCCGAGGGGGCGATGTTATGTCTGCAAAACAACTGTTTGATTCAATGCCTGAAAAGAGTTTGGTCTCTTTGACGGCCATGCTTACCTGTTATGCGAAGCATGGTCACATTCAGGAGGCTCGCGTGTTATTCGAAGAAATGGAAGAGAGGGATGTGGTTTGTTGGAACGTAATGGTTGATGGGTATGCCCAGCATGGATACCCTAAAGAATCGTTATCGCTTTTTAGGCAAATGTTAGCCGCAAAAGTTAAGCCTAATGAAATCACTGTGTTATCAATTCTTTCTTCTTGCGGGCAGCTTGGAAGTTTGGAGTCTGGTAGATGGCTCCATTCATACACTGAGAACAATGGTATTCAGATCAATGTCCGTGTGGGTACTGCTCTGGTTGATATGTACTGCAAATGTGGCAGTTTGGACGACGCACGCAAGGTTTTTGATAAAATGCATGACAAGGACGTTGTAGCTTGGAATTCAATAATCATGGGATACGCTATTCACGGATTTAGCGAAGAAGCTTTTCGAATGTTTGATATGATGTGTAGCATAGGACTCCAACCCACCGACATTACCTTCATTGCCATTTTGACTGCTTGTGGGCATTCTGGTCTAGTCTGCAAAGGGTGGAGTTTTTTCAATTCTATGAAGAATGAATATAATATTGAACCGAAGATTGAACATTTTGGATGCATGGTGAATATTCTTGGCCGAGCTGGACAAGTTCGAGAAGCTTACGATCTTGTTAGGAACATGAAGATTGATCCAGACCCTGTCCTATGGGGAACTTTGCTATGGGCTTGTAGACTCCATAACGAAGTTTCTCTGGGCGAGGAAATTGCCGAGTTTCTTGTGAGCTATAATCTAGCGGGTGCAGGGACATATGTACTTCTTTCTAATATATATGCTGCTGCTGGCAACTGGGATGGCGTGGCAAAGGTTAGATCATTGATGAAAGAAAGTGGAGTTGAGAAAGAGCCTGGTTGTAGCGTAATTGAAGTGGACAACAAGGTGCATGAATTTCTTGCTGGAGATTTAAGACACCCGAAGAGCAAGGAAATATATTTGATGTTGGAGGAGATGAACAGTTGGCTGGAGGCGAACGGTTATACGCCACAGACGGGCGTCGTTTTACATGATTTAGGGGAGCGTCAAAAGCAGCTTTCCCTGGAAGTTCACAGTGAGAAGCTTGCCATGGCTTTTGGGCTTATCAGTACCCGAGCCGGGACCACAGTCAAGATCGTCAAGAATCTTCGAGTTTGTTTGGATTGTCATGCTGTGATGAAGTTGATATCGAAGATCACCAAACGTAAAATTATAATGAGGGACCGAAACAGATTCCACCACTTCGAGAACGGATCCTGTTCGTGTGGGGATTTCTGGTGAACCACATTCAATCCTCTTTTTCCTTGGATGAGCACCATTTTTAGAAGCAAGCAGCGGTACTGACATAATTGATCTCAGATTTGGCCCTTAAAAGGTTTAACCATGGGCTCTCAAGTTCAAATGCTGGTGTGAAGAACTGAAGAAAGTATGCCGCCGTGCCTCATAAACTTGTCAGAGTGAGGATCCAAAATTTCTCATAGTTACAATCCATCTAAATATATGGCATCCTATGTTTACTCATTCAGTAATTCATGAGAAATCATAAAGAAAAAAAATATCATTCAAAGGATGATTGAGGCAATTTAATATCAAATAAAGATAAAATTTTTTTGAAATATCACTGCAAATTAAGGGACTAATTTAAAAATAATTTTAAATAAAAAATATTATAATTTTAAACTAGATGTGTTAAAAGAAAAACAGAAGTATTATAATATTTTTTCATTTACAACTATTTTTAAATTAATCATCTAATCTTATAATAATATTTAAAAAGAATATTTTTATTTAATATTAAATTATGTCAACGTTCGGTGTTTTCCCAATCATAAATGAACTCCAAGCTTCACAAAGCCTACGTGCTATACCTTTATATCACCGAGTGACCTAGTCCACTAGTTGTCTCTCCCCCTTCGGCCAATATATATATATATATATATATATATATATTTGTCTCTCCCTGATCCCAAATAATATTCATGGAGGAGATTATCCTTGCACTGTTCTGCTAAGCACAGAAGAAGCCTGTGCCGAACAATCCTGGAAATCTATGGAACCATGTTCCTTCATGACGTTATCTATTATTCTCAAATATTTTCTAATTTATTAAGAGGGTTGTGGCAATATGAGGATAAAATCATAAGAATGCGCTCTTTGAAATAAAAATACCATAAGATTTTATACATTAGTTGATTGATTGACTGTCATGTATATCTTGAGAGCGCATGTTTTGTTATTCATTTCGTGTCCCTCCCGTTGCTTCCTTTGTTGCAGGCTTCTAAGCAAGATCATTCGTCAACCATCTTACGCGTTACTATTTCTTTGACGCAGCTTTCTGTATTTTCCACACCTTCCAACTTCTTAGAATTGACTCTCAATTCGTTATACTCTCAAAATCCTCATGCTCCAAGCGACACACAACATTTAAGAACTCTTAGGCCTTGACCTCATCATAACACCTGGATCCCCCTAAAATGCTACAAGTAAAAAGAGCGAAGATAAAAAATAACAAGACCCACTTTTGGTTGTGGGGTTCATGTAAAAAGAATGGGAAAAAGACAGTTCAATTCTAATAGATTAAATTAATGATAATTAAATCTCAACAAACTTTTATAAAAAAATAGATTGCCCAGTTACAATCTAAAACTTACATTTAATATTTAAATATTCATTTATAATTAAAACTCCTGAATTTATAATTATTTAAATCAACTTTTTCATCTTATTTTAAAAAAAATTATTAAAACTTAATTATCATTAATTTAATGTTTTAAAACCTAACCGTCATTCCCTCAAAAAGAAATGATATCCATCATTCTTCCTATTAATCTCCATTTGATCATGATGAATTCAGATTGCAAAAATGCACGACTCGTTCTCACTCTACCAAATCGGTAAATACATAAAGACCATAGCGATTGGTAATGAGAATTAAGGCCTAAAAATTTTAAAAAAAAAATACAAAAAGGATAAAAATGAATAACTAAATCCTAGAAACGGGATTTCCCGTCACCTTGCAGAAATAATGTTACCAATTTTAAAGAATTTGTGGCCGAACAACTCAGTTGTACATTTTATTATATAACAACCTAGGGGGATGGTGAGGAAGTATAGAAAAAAGAAATCTAAAAGCATGATTTCTATATTCCACTCTTGAAGTATAGAAACAGGAAATAGACCCCCAGAGACAAGCAAGGACGGAGAATACCGAGAAAGAAGGAACAGACGGACGCTACAAACCAGGGATTTCTTCTTACCTTCTGTTGCCAGTGAGAGAAAAATTTAAGAATAGCAGCAGAACGATTGTTCAACCGTCCATTTTAATTTAATAGCCTCCGGTTTTCATTTTGTTCTTGTAATGACTCTCTGAGTAAGATCTATTAGTGCTCTCCTTGATCTTTTTACTTCCTCATTATTACTCTCCGGTAAAGAATCAATTGATGCTGCTGCAAGGTTAGCATGCTTTATGGCTAGTTCCCTTGTCCTCTGTATACCTCGGCTTTTTCCCAGATAATCCAGAGCCTGCATTAACGAATATGCAATTTATGAAGTCGAGTTATCGCATGTCAAAACATAACTGATCACTCGGACATGTTAATACCCAGGCATAAGTTCTCGTATTCGCGGTCCAATCTTACACTCCTATATTAAATCATATGAATAGAATTCAATAATACAACTTCAACAAACAAAAAGAATAAATATGTAACTAGCACTGCTTCTCTGTTCAACTTGTGTACAAAATTTTAATTGTGACCCCAGATTTTGGGCTGTTAAACCAGCATATCCCAATTCTTAGTAATTTGGGTTGAGAAATGTAAAAGGCAATCAGATAGAAGTGGAGGTATTAAAAAATTAAAAAAAAAATCGGTTTTGCTGTATTACCTTAAAAATTTAGAACATGAGACTGCATATAGTCATGTAGTTAATAACAATTGCAATACCTATAATATATGCAGTTACTAACAACTGCAAAAGGACTTAGTTCAGCATAAAAAATATGTCAAAGGATCACTTTGTAGAAAAAGCCCAATGATTTGCTCAACCTGAAATCTCAGGTCACGAAGAGTCACACAATTAATGAATGACCAAAACTAGACGTCAAACATAGCAGAATAGCACATTCACCAAAGTCTCAGATATTTAAATAGTAGTCCTAGATATATTGGGGGAAAAATAAATAACATTGAAAGCAAGCACATCACCATAACTTACAAGTTCAACATTTGCAGGGTTGTCAAAGCCCTGCTCGACCACTGTACGCAACTCAGGGAAATCCTCCATTGCAAATAATATTGGAGCTGTCACAATTCCCTGCACAAATTTTATCAGGCAACAGTTTCATCGATAAGACAGTCATCTGTAAACGACACTTAAGATCATAGTGAAATTACAAAGTAAAAAAGCAACATGAAGGTCACGTGCAAATCCAAGTATCAAAATCAAAACATAAATAAGGCCCTGGAAACACAAACGCTTAGATGTAACCAAAATTGGAAGGTTCAAACAAAGAAAAACCCCCAAATATGAGCATAAAAGACGAGAGAAAAACGTACTATTGATCATACACTAATAGATTAAATAAATATACACTCTATAACATGTGCATTAAAACAAAATACTCTTAGGATTTGACAAAGGGATTTCAGAAGATAATTTAGTGCGTGTTTTGGTTTTATGTTAAAAACAACCAAACCCTGGTTTTGGTGGTTGTTAAACTAAATAAGTTCTTACACCACTTGTAAATATATTTAAAGGAAATTCAATGGCGTCAAAAATAGGACCAAGAAAGGGTAGGTGTAAACCACACAAATCTAAGTAACAATTTGTACAATCAACAATTTGACCTTAGGCTACTAAATGAAATAAGGATCGTCAAACATAAAAAAGAATCCTAATAATAATAGCTGTGTGAAATAACATTTTTTTCATCAATTGAGACTTTATTGTGATTTTGGAATTTATTAGTACTTTGGTCTCAAAGTATTATGGTTCTTAATAGATGCCAAGTGTCGACATAAACAAGGATAGCATTCATTCAATTCAAAGAGACAAAGAACAATGGTTCTTTTGATGGACGGTCATCCTATGGAACTGGGCTGACTACCAAATATACATAGGCTTTTAGCAAACAGTTTCAAATCACATTCAAAACATCAAAATGAACTTTGAAACAAGAGAATTTACAAAATTACATGGCGAATGTCTGATAAAGAACCCTTTCCAAGTGAAGTTGATGTGCCCGTGAAATCAAGCACATCATCTATCAATTGAAATGCCAGCCCCTGCAAATCATAGGTAAAAGAAATTGAAATTGAATTATAACATCCAGATAAATTCAGAGAAAAATACATATCAAGTAAGAAACAAGCAGAAACAAAGCTACAAAGTCCCCAGATACAGAGTAGGACATCCTGTAGGCTTCCCCCTATTCTCTGTCTGCAAGGAATCTCACTATCTAGTGTGTTATTTACAATGGAATAGCAACACAATACTTAGATTTGAAAAATATACCAACCAGATTTTTTCCATAATCAAAAGCCAACATAGCAACTTCTGCTGTATGCCCCCCAAGCAGGGCAATTGCCTTGCAACTATTTGAAATTAATGATGCAGTCTTGTAGTATGTCTTTTGCATATAATATTCCATGCTGCAGATATAGACTATTGTTAGAGAGATGCTATGGTAACAGAAGAAGAAAGATATGAGAGAGAGAGAGAGAGAGAATCAATAACACAACATTTATCAATGGTCTTTCCCCCCATCTTTCAATCTATTTAGAATGGAAACTAACTAATCTTAGCTACCCGTAGCATCTGAGTTGGTTTATAATGTACAGCTTCCAGCTGCAGCAAATATTTAACATATCAAGAAGTAATGAACCGCAAGTATCTTGGAATTCTATGCATTTATAAATGTAAATTCATTTGTGTTTGTTTGGGGAAAAAAAATTAATTGAACATTTACATCTCATTTAAATATATTGATATTTTGCCAGAATAACCCTATGATATACAGAGCACTGACACATATTTATCAATAGTGAGGTTAACTCTTTCGATACCCCACAGCAAAAAGCAGATGCATGTGACAGGAGCGTTGCTCAGAATTATACCTGCACCGTTGACCAGATGTTGTACTCATTTGCATGGTCTCCCCTGTTACAAGATGTTCTACTACTGTTGCCAACAAAGATACAACCTACAGATGCACAGTCATTCGGCTGACCAACAGTTTTAAGTGAATAGGCAAGTAATTGTGTGCATCATCAAAGAAATTTTCTAACCTCTGTGTTTTTCAGTGAAGCAAGAGCAACACATGCCCGAGAAAGCAAAAAATCTCCTGCTAACACTGCCAACTGCATCAAAAACCAAACAGGTATAGAAAAACTGGTACAGAGTTGAGAGAGAAACTGGCACTCAATTCAAGTAAGTACCATTGATCAAAATCAAATCAACAAGTCTACTAAGCATCTTTCATTTATAACATAAAAGAGAAGTAAGCAAACTCTAGTTAGGTTCCTTTCTACCTCTAAAAGATCTGAAACCAACTTCTGAACTGACTAATTAATATCGCTGTATTTTGTTAATTTATTAATATTAATAATACTGACTCCTTAAACATATAAAAAACAAGCAGCTCAAGCAGGCCACACCTACCACAAATTTGGATCCGGAAAACATCACGGAGCAAAGATAAACAACAGCACATACCACACAGGCAAAAGGAAACACATACCTTATTACCCATCACAAAATTTAATGAACCAATACCACGTCTTGTATCAGCGTCATCTAAAACATCATCATGAAGAAGACTCGCCACCTAAGAAAAAATTACAGCATTTGTTCAAAATGATAATTTGGTGACCTTTTTGCCCTCAGGGGGGGTTGGAGGGTGTGGGGGGGGTCATCGTTACAAAATCACAACTGTGTATGTGAATCACTTAAAATGACGGTATGAGACACCATTCTATATCTGCTAAAGATTTTTTTATTTTTTTACTAACTATATTTGTTGAAGATGTGAAGCAATCAATTCCATTGGTTAATCTCAATGCCACTAGAAGATATTTCAGTGCCACCTTAGGAATTTTCCAACTGACCTAACTGATAATTACTTTGGATAGGGGGAGGGGAAGGGGAAGGAAAATGAATAAAAAATCCACCCAATGCTAAATTCTGTTGCCTGGTTCAGTTATTTAGTCTAAGGAGAATGTATCATAAGCTTGGCATATACAAGAATAAACAAATCAAATAGGGGTAAAAGAGCAGGGAGGAATTGGTCAACCATTAGAATGATCATAAAAAGGTAACAATACTTGAATGCCAAGTATCCGGAGTCCATAAGGATTATATTTAAAGCTATGAGAACATAACTTCAGTCAGTAATGGCTGATTTAAGGTTTAGCTGCTTTACACTAGACATTTTATCTGCTATTAATAGGAAAGAGGCCCATATTCAGTTCCAGGGCAAAATTTCTAGATAAATGGATGATGGATCATTGACAAAAATAATTTAGCATGCATTCAATTGCACACATGGAAAACTACAGAAGAAACCATAAATCAGAACTAGGAAGGTGTCTGCATAACAATTTCTGCTGCTGGTTCGTTGTTATCCAGTCAACAGACTTGCCTCATTAAAATCATCTTAAAATATTCCACATTTTGTGCATAGTGGCTGCAAGAATTTATCTCACAAAATTACTACATACACGAGAAGAAACTAGAGAAAAAATCAAGTCCTTTCCTCAGCATTAAATTCGTAAATATAAAAAAACTGGGTAAGGTTGAAAACGTGTGGACTAAGGGAGCAGACAATAAGGACTATTTAAAAGTGAACAAATCAGTTGCAATATTCTCCAGACAGATCTAAACAAGAAAACAGCCACATCTATAAGCTAGGAAGGCTGGACACTAACACAACACTAAACCTGACAGTGACAGACATTGAATCGTGGAAACAATCTGGAGCATCCATATGTAATTTAAAGAATTGAGCCATGCCTGATATGAGCATTCAACAAGTTCAAACATGGACACAGCCTTTTTAAAGTGTTACTGCTTCATAGTATATGCTTTGCCAGGAATTGGTAATATCAAACATAAGGTACAGATGCATCATAAATGGTGGTGCAATTACAACTTAGTAAAATGCAGATAAATATTTTATGCATCTCTTTCAACACATCAGACTGTGCACTTTATTACATAGAGACATTAGCAGTGACATTATCAAACAAAGTACCAATAGATGCCACAGCCTTAATAGTCAAGAGAAGGTAATTTAAATTCATTCTTAAGGCATCATTGCCAGTGATATGAAGAAAACAGTATCCTCTTAATAAAGGAAATTTTATGAAGCACTAACATGGATCATCTCTGTAATTTCGGCTATGCATTGCTGCCTTGAACGCAGTTCAGTTGTCAAAGTGCCTTCTAGCTCATTAGATGGAGATGAGTTGGGTATTTGCACGTTTAATGCTGTTGACATTAATAAAATAATCTGTACAGAGTTTATTTGCCAATCAATATTGAGTATATGAAAGTACCACACAAGAAAGATCATTAGCACAATGGTAAACTATCAAATAAGACATTTTATCACCATATATCTAAACACACCAGCAAAGAATAAGTGATGGAAACTAAGGTAATATCAGATGCTTAAGTCCCACATTGAGTAGTATGAAATGCACTATGACGTATGATAGTTCTCCCACCTCACTGGTAAGCTTTTGAGAGAGGGGTTCCCACCACACTTTGTTGCCCAACAATAAGTATCAAAGCTATGGTCAATGATTGTGAAAAAGACTAGGAGGATTCTGATCATCAAAGAAGCCTAGCAAAAGTGACACTAAGTGAAGTGCCAAAAAGGGTAGCCATGGAAATGCCAGCTCTCCAAGGATATCGAGTTGATGGAGAACAAAGTGTAGCCATGGAGATGTCAGCTCTCCAAGGATATCAAATTGATGGAGAAAAAGGTCGTTTGAGATACATAAGTCCCATATTAACTAGTATCAAATAGGATGCTCCGTTGAGTACTGAAGAGGGTTCGTTGTTCCACCTCAATAGCTAACATTTCAATGATGAATCCTCTAGTGGATGACCATCACAAACCAATAGAACAATTTGAAAAAAAAAAATCACATGAAGGTTTTCCCAGCAAGATCTAATTCACACTCTGTATAAACATAATTCCACTGACCTTTTCGCTTCCAAATATTTTTACATAATTGTGTGAACATGAGTATAACATTGTATGAAGAGTTTGTTGACGTGTTAGTGGACAATGGATATCAATGTGTTAGCTTGAGAGCCAGGTGGAGGGTAAAGAATTTCAAAACTTTATGAGCATCATTCCAATGGTAGTTCCTCCCACAAGGCATGCAGTATCAAGCCAAATCAAAGTAAAATTTTTACCTAAATAGTAAAACAAGATCTGCATATGATAATAAATTTTCTTACTGTGGGACGAAATCTTTTTCCCTCCACCCCCATTTTGAAAAAGTATTCAGCAGCTGAGGCAAGCTTAGGAACCTGTCGCATGAGATCCAGCTTTCACCGTGGAATATGCTAATGCTTCCAAGGATACAAGAATTGAAAAGAAAGCAATACATCTGATACCTCAGCAACAACCATTGCTCGCAGCCTATTAGCAAGATGAGATAGTTCATCGGCAACCAGCGAAAATGGGTCAAGTTGGTCCTGAAAACAGTTCATGCATCTCAAAAGGGGAGTAATAATCAATTAAGAAGCATTAAAGTTGGAAGAAAATCTTCCCAATATTTTGTCCCTTTTTCTTTGCATTTACTAATTTTTTACCAAAAAATATACTTGAATTGGTTGAGACAGTTCAAGTTGTGCCTTATGATAATTTATAAATATCTCAGAAGAGAAATAGGTAGTGCAGATTGAAATCCACCCACTTCATTCTTATACTTTTTCTTTCAACTCACCAAGCACATATGCAGGCAGGCATGCATGCATGCCACACATCACAGAAACTAAGATTGTAGAAAATTAAGGATTTTTCTTTTTTCCAGCTTTCAGCATCCACACATTATGCGCTAAGACATACTGATACTAGTATTCAGGACATGATATGAAACAGGCACCATAACGCAAGAGAAGACATAATAGTGATTTAACTGCAATTTTAACTGTCCGATATGAGATTATAATTTTATTTTGCAAATATAAAAGATTATACATTAGAAAAATATATAATCCTCTGAGATGTGGTAAATCTAAATCACACCAGAAGACAAAAGGAGGTGCAAAAGGAACATACTATACTAACCTCAATTATGGAGCTGCTCTGATTATGGAATAGATGACTAGCACTATGCAGCGTGGGTAGACAGTTAGAGAAAATTAAACTTCTAAAAACCTGCAACTCATGAAACAATGTACAATTAGAACGAAGCCCTGCAATATAGACAACCACAAATATGTATTACTCAAATTTTACAAGCATGATCCAGAAATTACCAAAACATCTCTAAATACTTTATACGAGAAAGGGAAACAAGCACAACGAAGGTTGTGTGTGCCAATGGAGAAAATGCGAATCATAACCTATATTCTATAAATAATTTCTCCAGTTAGATATAATTCTTTGCTGATGTAGATTCATGGCCGAAAAATTTATATTCAAGTTTATACGAGTTATGCTGTCTACTTCTCATTAGCCAGTACGGCATATTTTCTTCCAGTTATCAAAGTACAAAAATTTGCAAACGAAACTTAATAGATATAGTTTAAGTTAACCACTCGTTGTTTGAGTTCGCAATTGAGTGAAACACACGAAAGATATCCTGGTCCAACCTTCTAAAAACCCACAGACCTGTCTTATGTGTCACTCCAAGCTTCGCAGCTGCAGATTAGTGTCATTATCAAAGTACAGCCAGCAGCAAGAAGAGTCTCTCCTCATAAAATTACTTCATTGTGACTCACAACTAGTTTTCCTCTTTTATTTTTTATTTTGCTTTCTCCACTCTTTTTGTTGATAAAACGGAAAGGGCAAAAGTAAACAACGTCTTAAAACCGGGAAGTCTAAACAGATTGTTAGCACAGTAATTGTGCTATTAAATTGTGTTCTTCTTCAGGAAATTAAGTCAAGTTAAATAATATAAAGCAATGTTCCGCCGCTATACGTTGCTCAAAATCATCGTTCCATTAGGGGAACATGTTGTTAGTGAATATGTAAAAGTAAACTTTGGGAAGTCGGATCTGAGAAATAGCTATTAGGTATTCCGGCGACGTTTTCAAAGCTATACAAATAGATGGGGAAGCCTAAAATCGAGGAAAACACGCCAAATCTCGGAAATGGCATTACCTTTCCAGCTGAGTTTTCAGGAGACTGACAAATATGCGACAGAATAAGTTGGTGATTCTGGCCTCGGCCAGAGGGAAACCGCCGACATCCGTTCAAGCTGCCTCTGTGATTTCTAGATATCCTATAAAGTGCCCGGGAAAATAACATCGTGCAAAAATAAAATTGGCTTCAGAAACAGGAAGAATTTGAGGTAGCGGACGAGCAGCCAGGAATGGTCAAAGAGATAAAAACATAACCGCCTTTGTTTGAAAAATGACCACTGCGTTTGGTATCAGTGTTGTGACGACGGCAGAGCTCAACCATACATCCTGACGTTCAACTTTGTTTTCAATGCGTGCTTTTAATTTTATTTAGAAGATTACAAATAAAAATTATAAATTTTTAAAATCTCAATTAAATTCTCCAAAAGGAAACCATCATCATCCAAGTGATAGTTCAAAATCAACCTCTCCACGGGGCGGTCAAGGACGTGGCCGCGTCTCGCGTCTTGGCTTGGGCGCACTCGTGGGGACTGCGCTGGGGAGCGAGAGACCTGCCAATATGACCACACCCTTATGGCCGGGCTCGTATGGGCTGAGTCCAGTGCCTTATTTGTCCGATTTTTTTTTTTTTTTCAGTCTGACTCAAATTATTTGGACTCGTGGCTAAACCTGAAAATTGGAGTCAGGTGATTCGAACGAGGCAGGTTTATTTAAATCAATTTAAAATATTTTATTCTCTTAAAAAATTTATATAATTAATTTTGACTTTAATTTTTTTTGGCCGAGTTAGGGTTGGTTCATAGGACTTAGCCAAAATTATTAATTTTATATACATATAGAATTGTGAATTTCAATGATCGGATTTATTTAAATTAAGTTTAAAATATCATATCTTCTTAAAAAATTTATATAGTTAAATTTAATCCTGACTTTTTTTGATTAGATTTGAGCAAATCCATCGGGCTTGGCTCAAATTACCGACTCTACCAAAAATCTTATTTTTTGTGGTAAAATTTAAGTTTTTATTGTTATCACAATATATATTCAACTCTGGATTATTAAAAAAAATGTCTGAAGTCCAACTTGAGTGATAAAAATCCAAACTCTAAAGAATTTGAAGTTAAAATACCCCTAACCCAGCATGGTACAGCCTTAAAATATCGGTGCTTCGTGAATGAATAAATTTTTTTCAAAAGAGGGAGTTAATTAGGAGCTTGAAGCTGGTGAGGGTGCACATGCTGGGCAAGGGGAAATGGGAGCAAAGGGGAGATGAAGCTGTTTGTGTTTAAAAGAGAAAAGGTTAAAAAAACAAAGAAAGAAAGAGAGCTTAAAGTTAGTCCAGTTCATTTTATTAAGATTTATCAAGCTCAACTTCAAAAGTCATTTTATGCTCAAGATCTTCGTTTTTCAACTACTGATCCTCATTTTTAAAGATGGGTAAAACAAGCTAGTTTAGCAAGTTCGTCTTATATATTCAGCTCCAGTGGAGACTAGTAATGATAAATGAGATTCTATGGATATATCATTATCGAGTTAAAGTAATGATATAACCATTGGGGTCAGGAATAAATTTAAATAATAATAACACAATGTATAAATTAAATGTGCATCCCCCGATCCCTGCCCACTTTATTTTAGTCAAGGGACAACCACACGTGCGCTGGTACAAATAGATTAAACGTGCATTCCCAATCGCCCACGTTCACCTTGTCCCCCCGAGGGTGGTTTGATGAAATAATTTCTTGTACATGTTAAAATAATTTATTACCATCACTGTACTACCGTGCTAGATGATCGATGTCAATAATGTCTCGAGCCAAAAAATAAATTTTAAAAATAATAAACATGTGTAGTGGCAATGTCAAAATCCTAAATTAGGAGGTGCAACATTTTTTTGAGCTTCGGTTGAATATATTAAAATTTTTTTGAAACCCAAACATTTTTAAAGTTAAATTAAGAAGTGTAAAAGAGTAAAATATATAATCCATTTTTGTGATTTTCTTCAAATTCAAGGGGTGCGTTTGCCTCCTGAATGACAAATAACGCCGCCCATGAACATATGTATATATGTGTACGTATATAAACACACTTAAATTAGTCCTTGATCCTTAATACGTAACTATTTCTTTCTTTTTGGTTAATAGATGATGGAATCAATTTCTATTTCTAAGAGAAACACGCATATGTGTGTTATATATATGAAACGATACCTTTTCCCTTGCTATTTTTAGAATGCTGTGTTCATCATGTTTATGGTGATGAATTATATGTAACATATAAAATTAGTTATATTCAATAATTTGGTTATTTTTATATATAAGTAGTTTACATGTTATGTACTTTAATACTATATTAATTGTATGGTATCAATATAAGAAATGAGATATATCAATTTGTTTCACACAAAACCAAAATTTCTTATTTTATCAATAAAGCTTGCTTCAAATTTGTTTTTCTTGATGATTTAATATTTCTCATTCAAATGATAACTCATTCCAATTTTATTTGATCAAAGGCATTCCAAATATGTTTCACATAAAACTCTATTGTATTTATTACCTACTCCTTCTGTTATTTTTCTCTTTCCTTAAACGATTGTGTTTATTTGTTTGGTTCATTGGTTTTGTATTCACACACACATTTACTTATGGTTATGACGAAGCTTAAGTTTATATATTTTTAATTTTTAATGTTCTCGTTTTTATATTTTAAATTTTTAATTGCCTTTGTAAAATTCACTGTGCTAAATTTTATTATGTTTGGGATTAGATAAAATGAATGGCTATGCAAAATAATACTACCAAAGACTTGGAGCATTTCATGTGATGTGTAGCGTCATTCTAGAAGATAATGAATGAAAGTGTTTATAGATTAATGTATATTATATTAAAAAGGCCTCATGTTAGGTTTATTGATTTGATTATTTTTATATATAAGTAGTTTACATGCACCTAAATAATATATTAATTGCGTGGCATTAGCTTCAAAAGTGAGTTATATCATTTTGTTGTGCATAGAATCAGTGTTTCTTTTTTTAAGCTCACATCAAATGTTTTTCTTAACAATTTAAATTATTTTTAATTTAAATCCTGATTTAAATACCTATTATTTAAAGTAATTGTCGGATAATTCATTTTGAATTTTGAACTGTAGAGTTTTTATCACTCATGAAAATTAAATTTATAATTGTATTATAAATTCTCCATTTATATTTTTATTACAAGTTCGACATTTATAATAAAAAAATACATACTTTTTAAAACTACGATTAACTATAGTTGTCCGCAATATTTAATGCTAACAATGTCAATCTTTTAAAATAAAAATTTTAAATTTTTTTAAAATAGTTGAATCGTTATAGAAATACAATGATGTATTTCATATTTGAATTTACTAAATGACTTAAATCTATTCATTCAATGAGTATATCAATTATATTGTTGAATAATATTAATATTTAAAAATTACCAAGGCGTATTTCCTTATAAAATTTTAAAATAGCTCTCACGATGGCAAGAGTTCTCACATTCGTTGTCCTCTTTAAAAATTTAAGATTTGGTGGTTTTTTAGTATTTTATGACAAAATATCTTATAACAATCTAGTCAAATCAAATAATTATTGTTGTGACATATGTGACACTCATTAAATGATAAGATTGTCCATTCATTAAATTTAAATATAATGCATCTAATAAAATTACTATAGTTCTATCATAATTTATTAACAAATTTTATTATATATTTCTCCTCTTTTATATATAAGCAAAATTTTTATATGATTTGTTGTTATTATACTGGGTGTCCCCAAAGGGACTGATTTGTTGTTATTCTTTTACAAGCAAAATAATAATTTTCAAAAAATATTTATGACATCTTTCCTTAATTACTCTTTATTAAATTATAGTATCATTGAATTAGAAAATAAATTAAATGTTAATGACAAGTGCATCTTAACTCAAACTTTTTAATTTCAAGAATAATTATTAGGACTAACTAATATTTTTAAAATACGTGAATTGATTAAAATTTTTTCATATATATAAAAAATAACAATAAGTTGATTGATTTAAATAATAAAATATTATATTTTATAATTTATTATTTAAATTTATTTGTTATATACAATTAATTATCTCATACATATATAAAATACAAGCAAAATAAACCTTTGACAATTAATTATCTATAAGTATTTTTACCGTGGATCCCACACCAATTTTTGTTGTGTGTCCCACGTGAACTACTAACATACATAGGTTAAATTTAAAAAAAAAAAAAATTTGCTGTACTATTCATCCAACTGTAGATAAACAAAACTGTACAATAGACTTTACTATATATAGAGATATTGGATTTTAATTTGATATAATTAATTATTAAAATAAGTAATTAATATGATTAATTTTAATTATAATTGATTGTATTAAAACGCAATCTGTTTGAATATCTTTTTTAAATTAATTTTAATAGAATTAAAGATATTTTGATGATTTAGGGTATGTTTGGTTTGAAGGAAGAGGAGGAAGGGGAGAAGGGAAGGGGAGGTGAGGCGAGAAGAATAAAAATAAGTTAACAATTTTATTTTTATCAAATTTAACTTGATTTTTATTTTTTTCCTTGAAATAACTATTATATTAGAATTTATTAACTTTTTATTTTAAGAATATGAACTTATATTAACAAAAAAAATTGAAGAACAAATTATATTTTATCAGTGAATCTAATAAAAAATATTAAAATTTTATACATCAAAAATTATATATTAATTTTTGTAAGGTGATAAAATTTATTTTATTATGAGAGAGAGAGAGAGAGTACATAATCTCTTAATATCAAAAGTAGTTTTAAATTTTTAAAATAAATGTTTAAATTTATTTTAATTATTTTCTCTCTCCCCTCCCCTCCAAAAAATTTCAAATTGGAGGGTAGGGTTCCTGTCATCTAATTTTTTAACTAAACAAAGGATTCCTTTCTTTTCTTTTTATTAATCACTAACCAAATAAGAGAAAGAAAGCAATGTCCCTCCACTCTTCTTTAAAAACTTCAAACCAAATACAACCTTAATCAAAGATAATTTTAGCTATACAAATTATTATAAAGGACATTACTTTTTTAAAATTGAATTATTAGTAAAATTGTATATAATATTATTAAATTTTTTAAAACTTTTTTAAGAAGTATAATATATTATTTAATTTATAAATTTGATTAATTATAAAAATTTAAATTATATTAATATTTTGGCCAAAAAAATCATATTAATATTAATGCTTCACTCTCTCTCCTTACACGAGCTCTCATCCTTATCCCATGGTCATTTGCCTCATTAATTTGAAGTACTCCACGCCCCC